AGGAATTCTGGAATAAGTCTCTAAGTTGTTTGGTTGTATTTTGAGCATGTGTGCCTAAGGAGCTCATTCTCTTAGGAGAGGTCATCTAGTAAAGCAGCATCTTGCTTAGAATTGTTTAGGTTGGGAGGGACCCTAGTTGGGTAACTTCAGTGTGGGGTTGGGTTGCTCAGGGCACTGTCACACCAGGTTTTGAGTGTATGCAAGCAGATCGCACATCCTCCCTGGGCATCCCATTGTTTGACCATCCTTGTTGAGAATTTTTTTTCCCTAACATCTAATCTGAATCTGCCTTGCTGTATCTTGAGTCTGTTGCCCATGCCCTTTCAGCAAGCAACGTTACTGAGGGCACAAGAAAACATGTTTAATTGGCATCCAAAGCTGTAAGTCAGTATGGAAAACAAAGCGCTGTGGGATCACAAAAGAGACATGTACAATGTCTGCACGCTCAGAGGGACATTCAGTGTGGCAAAGTTGTGCTGTATAGGACGTTACTGGAGTAGTTACGATGTTCATTGCTTGCATACAAACCTTGGTGTCTGAAGTCTTGCAGAAAGCAAATGCCATCGGGTTTGCCCCTGAAAGTCATTGTGTGAACCGTTTTTTGTTGCAAGGCGCTTGAGAGCTGTGCCTCATCGGCGGTCATGTCACTAGTTTGGACTTTTTGGGGGGTTTTGTGTGCATTTTTCCCTGGTGTTGTCGGTTGTACCTTGTAATTGAAGCATTTAAGATGACTTGGTCTAGAAAAAGGATGTTTTTTCAACTCTTTAGCTGTATGAAATTATATGAGGAAAGGAACTTGAGGGGAGAGAGGGTAGGTAGCTAATGAAAACCACGAGAAAGCTCTGAACAGTGTTGTTTCTCTGTGTAAACCTGCAGTGTGTGCTGTGCTGAGCTATATGCTGCACACTGCATGGCAGGTTCAGACTTGAATTTTGGAAGCAGTGCTACATTTGCCTGAAGTCTTTCCTTTGTGAGCCCGAAGAACTTGGGCATCAGATGTGAGCTACTGCAGTACTCATCGTGAATCTGCTGGAATTTTCGATAAAAGTTAGCTAACAATAAGCAATCCACCTCTGGCGTGCGGCATTAATACCAGTGATCAGCTGGGCTAGGAGATTCATTTTTGTAAGCAGGACCCAGTAGTTCTATGTATGGAGCAGTGAGGGGAGGAGTGGCAGGGAAATGACAGGAGATTGCATGCTGCTGTGGAGAAAAAAGCAAGTGTAATTGTGAGCCCTGCCGAGGTCAGTTTATGTTGCTCGATGTATTGGAGAAGCTTTTTCACACAGGATTTTCAGAGCATCCAAAAAGAATTGGACGGCAAAATATTAAAAACCCCCTTGTGAACGTAATACCTTTAGAAGAATTTTAGGCTCGTGGTTTTATTGCATGAAAATCTTTTGGTTTTGTGATCTTTGTGTTCACCTCCAGTTGCTGTCTGGGGAAGATCTCCAGGAGTAAGTAAAAGCTGATACTTGATTCAGTTGTTACTTATAGTGAGGCCAATCTAAAAATGCTCTGGGTCCCTTTGAATTTGAACCTGAACCGATGGAAGGTGGAACGCCTGAGGAGCTGCACCGCAGCTTGAGGTAGTACAGTCGCACATTTCTCTATGTGAAACGCAAGGCTGGGGCTGTGTAGTGCAAGATAGCAGGTGTGACTTCTGTAAGAGGTCTGTGGGAGCACAGCCAGAGCGCGACAGTCATCTGATAACTGCCTTTGTCTTTAAAGCTTCATATGATTTTGTTAAGACTGTAACCTAATACTCTAAAGAAAACTGTTTGGAATTTATTGTAGCTGGTTGCTTTCCTTTCCTATTCGTTGTGCTCTCCTGTTTGTAATTCTCATGCATACTCCTCAGGAAGACTTGTCCTGTATATCCTCTTCTTTCCCCAACCTGTGTGAGACTGTTCATTCACCACTACAATGGCAAGCTGAAATCTAGGAGGCAGTCGTAGCGTGCGCAGAGAGACGCCCGTGCCCTCAAGGCCCTTAGTCAACAGCCGGCAGTGGGAAAGCTCTGCCAACATCTTAAACGGAGACTTATACTGCCGGAAGAGTGTTCTTTTGAGCACAGTTAGTGGAGTTCGTTCTGCAGTGCCAGATTTTCTGTCACTGTGGTAATGTGTCTCCAGTAAGACTTCCTTGTCCTGCTGGGTTTTTTCCGTTGTGTTTAAATGTAAGCTTTGTACTAATAGTCCTTGTGGTTTTAATTGCCTGGTTTCCTTTTTAACAACTTGTGTGAAAGTTGCGTGTTCAGTGGAGGTGACCAGGAGAGTTTCGTAAACCCGCCAGATGAACAAATGATTTTAGTCCCTTCTGATCCGCAGCAGTGGTAGTATCCTCCTGCCTTTTAGAAATGGTGAGTTTATTACACGTTTGATTAAAAGTCACTTTCTTCCAAGTTACCTGTGTTTTCACTGACCGCTTCCTTGTAAGCTATAACTTTGGGCTTAATTGTAAGCATCCTGATGCCCCCCGCACCTCTTCTTCCTCTCCAGGTTGTTTTGTCTTTGCTTGCTCTAATGGGATCATCTTGAGGCTTTGGCTTTGATGTGTATTCCCTTGGGGAATTTGCAATGAGCTTGATGATGCAAAACAGATCAGACCTCTGTCAGAGATCAGAATTGCTCTCCTCTTGAGCAGTTGCCAAAAGTTATGGGTCTTGATGATAACTGTTAATGTAGAGCTCGAGCTTTGATCTTGCCTCTTTGAGAACTGCTGCTTTTGCTTAGACGTGAGTTAAGCGGTAGTGGCGAAGCTAGCTTGCAAGCTACTAATATTCATAGTAGCACTCATGTGGCCCTTAATTGTTTAAAAATTATGTAGTATTTGAAGCAGAACCTGTGTTGCTCAGACAACAGACAGCAAGTCGCAATTTTCTTAGTGTATACACTCCCTCTAATATCCCTGGGGTTCTGGACTGTTTTATCCCTTGGATTACAAGTTGGTGAAAATGCCTGGTGGGGACGGTGGGGGTGCATTTTTAGTTGACTCATAATATGCCAGTGCCACTACTGTCATACCCACCTCCCCCCGATGATCTCTGTGGAAGGAGGAATTCTAGACATTCCTTGTTGCTGATGGAAGCTGTCCTTGGCTGTGTCTCTGCTGAGTGTCCTTGAGTAGTCATCAGTTGAGGTGGAGGAAGAGAGGGGAGGAGGTGGCAGAAAACAAGGGCTGGAGCTCTTGAGAGTTGTGTCATTCCTAGAATTTGCTGCCCAGAGTTTACAAGAACAGGGTCCTCTTCATTAAATAGACTGACTCGTTTCCTGCAATGCTCTTTATGTTGAAACTTGGGCTTTTATTTTTTTCTTTTTTTATGGGGTATTCTGGAAATTCTGGAGAATGGTTCTAATTTACTGTCTCTTGTGGTTTAGCTGCATGTAACACTTGGCAGTTCATTCTTTTCTAAACAGCATTGATCTGGTAATAATTGGTACTGGCTTTTGTGTTCCCAGGAGTCCCCTGTCTCTCAGGGTCTAATACATACAATAACAGACTTTGCGTAC